GTTGAAAGGATAATCTCCGTGGCTCCATCATTTGCCATATGAATGAATAATCTCAGATGTTTAATTTTCCTTTACTTAAGGACTATCATCTGTAAAAGTAGATTATTAATGACACCTTATAGGATTGTTGTATTAAATGAGTCAACAAGCACAAAGCACTTTGGACAGCATCCACATGTAGAAAGCAAGGTTAATAAATTAGCTGTGACATCACTATCCACCTCTGAACATTTTTCTAGTTCAGCAGTGATTAGCAACATAAAATCAAACAATGCCAACTGGGGTTAGAAGTCACTTTTCCTCAGTCTCCTCTAAGGCTGTCATACTTGTAGAATCAGACCATCCTTATACAGTCTTCTTGATGATTGCCAACATTAACTACGCAAAGCATATCTGGAATGGTAAATTAGTAAAGCACTTCCAAAGCTTCTCTCTTAACTCACTGTCAGGGGATAAATTCTCTGCATGAATTCCAATAGCACGAAGCCCCTTTATTGGGCTCATAGGAAGATGTAAAATAGGTATTGCTTTACTTCCCTCAAAACAGTCTAACCATCTCCTTACTGTCCAAATCCCTGGCAACACTGCTGTATCTTTCTGTGAACTTAGGTAAGGCAAAATACAGTTGCCTTCATAGGAACTTGCTAGAAAACTGTTGAAGTTTTAAGTCTCTAATGGAACACATCTTTAAACTTTAAGTTGTTCTGCCTAGATTCATGGAACAGAAAAAGAAATTTCCACCATCAGGTACCCAGCCTCATGCATATGTTCAGATTGTCAAAGTATTCCCTTTGATTCATTTAATCAATAGCTATTTTGGAAAGTGCTTCATTATTTCCTAATTGTACAAATTCATTTTCTTCATTTTTCTTTATTAGAAGCAGATTTTTCAAATAAGTAGATCAGTAATTTTAGAATCATTACTAACTTCAAGCATGTTAACTTCAGTCATTAGCATGTCCATTTTCTTTCTAGAACTATATTTTTTCCCTATTTTAAAAGAGCATCCAATTCATTCCCTTACATCTAAAATAAAGTGAAATTTTATCTATAATTCAGGAATTCATATGTATAACAACACAAATCTTATTACTTTAATTTATCACAATTCTAGGTTTGGATAAAGATGCAAGATAGCCTGTATTATATTAAAATATAAAAATTAATGTAAATTTCATTTATATCTTTAAAAAACTCATGAAGTCATTAGAATAGTTCAAAAAACATTTGACAACTAATGAAACAAAAAATTTGGTTCTCAAATATATTAAAACAAAAAATTTACGTATGTAAGACTTCAATAATCCCACTGCTGAGATTTTCACAGAAATAAAATCATAATGTAATGGAAACACTGATTGCTGTCATGAAAATACTGGAAATAATATAAATTTTCATCAATAAATGAGTGTCTAGAAATACACAATACATTAATAAAGTTGTTTGCATATCATTTCATAAACAGAGAAAGAAACAAAATAGCGTTAATTAAGCAGGTGGTTACTGAGGAGAGTAGAGAAATTGCAGGAGAAAGAGAGAAAAGAAAGGGAAAGGTTGTAATAGTGACATTCTTGGCAAAAAGAGTACACAGTAATGATATAATTCACATAAAACTGCATATATGCACATATAATGAAGAAATACATAAAATCTCACATGGCTATCTGAAGACAATAGTACTATACATTTTTACTTTCTTATACTGTTATATTTAATACTGTTTTGATAATTTGGTATTTTATTGTGAATTTTTACCATTTTAATTATTTATAAAGTCTATAAAGTCTATAAATTATTACTTCCATTATGATGAAAAAAATGTGGCTGGAGCAATAGCACAGCAGGTAGGGAGTTTGCCTTGCCCGTGGCCGACCCGACCAACCCAGGTTTAATTCCTCCTCCCCTCTCGTAGAGATCGACAAGCTCCTGAGAGTATCTTGCTCACATGGCAAGAGCCTGGCAAGCTCCCCGTGATGTATTCAATATGCCAAACACAGTAACAACAAGTCTCACGATGGAGACATTACTGGGCCCACTCGAGCAAATCGATGAACAATGGGAAGACAGTGCTACAGTGCTATGATGAAAATATTTCTATACACAGAAGGAGAGAAAGAGACAAATTAGAAATAGAGAGGAAGAGTAGTGTAAAGAGTAGGATAGACCATACCCATGTATTCATACATCAGATCTCAAATATGTCCATGGCTGAAAGGCTGATAGGCAGTTCCACTAGACTATAACCAAACTGCTTGATAAGGTTTCACAATCACACAATTTATTTTTAAACCCAATCTTTGATTATGTAAATTTGTAATTCACTTTCTGACTCAGGTAATTCTGTCATTCTTTTACCTGAATTCTCTAGTTGTGTTTCCAAATGTTTGATTTCCTAAGAAGTCTTCAAAATTCCACCATAAGCATTTTTAAAATTTACATATTTTATATGTCTTCTGATTCAATGAAATGCAATAGTTTGTAGAAGATATGAACTCCACCTTTTGTTGACTATTTCTCAGGATGATTCAATTTTTCTTTTTTAAATTCAACAGAACTTCTACAGTCAGAGATGACATTGTAAAATATCAAAAAATAAACACACTTGAATAACAATACTGAAAATTGCAATGCAGCCTTCTAAAATATATTTTATATTTGGTCTTTTTTTCATGACTTTGTAACTCTTTGGAACATAAAATTGTAGAAAATACACACCAATCTTTTCTCTACTTAAAATAGGTTTCAGGGTCAGAATGATAGTACAGTGGTTAGGGGTCTTGTATACCATACAACCAACCCAGGTTCAATCCCCCAGATCCCATAAGGTTCCTAGAGCCAGGAGTGATCCCTGAGGTCACACCAGAAATAAATTTTGAGCTCCAAAATTATTTAAGGTCTCTTACTTACATAAATTAAAAAACAAGAATATGGTTATCTGAATTTTAAAAAATTTAAATTATTTTGGCATATAAAACTAGCTAAGCAATTAAAATAATCTTAAGAGTCAAGTACTGATAAATAAATTAATCCAGGTGCAATTTCTAGGCTATTACCATTACCATATGTCTCTTTAATTATCCTTTCCCTTAGGGACCTGATGCTTTGCAAAATTTACTCTACCACAACAAATGATTCAATAATATAATTTTTTCAATTTTTGAGTTGATGACATGTGTAACTGCCTACCACAGCTACTGATCAAGATGAGGAAACCAGTGTTTCGTATGTAGTTGAAACAAATATTTTAGAGGTAAGTGGTTTTTCATCATTGCTCAATGTATCATTCTTTAAAAAAAAATAGAAACTGTTGAAGATACACTCTAGAACTCAAATTGTATACTGACCTTTGCCTCACAATCAAAATCAAAGTCACAGCAAAATGTAGTTAAAAATACACTTTAAATGGGTTCCAAAATATTTTTAAAGAATAAAAGCAAATATCCCACCAAAGAGCATTAGTATTAATTATAAAAGCTCAGAAGTAACCCATTAAAAAAGACAAATCTTGACCTTATGCCAAGGGCAGAGTAGACAAATAGAAATGAATGAAATATTCTCACAACTTCTCAATTTTAGTTTTGCTTTTACAGAAGCAAGGAATAGATAAAGGCAGGCAAACTTATCAGTAGAAGATAATGAATACAATGTATTTGTTAGATTTTTATACTGATTTTTAACTTCTCGAAGAGATGTCTTTGTTTTTTCCTGTTCTGAAAAAATAAATGTATATGCGTTCATATTCTCTAGAGACTACATCAGATGATCAAGTCAAAACAAATCCTTTTGAAAGTACTGATCTCATAGCAGATGCAGGAAGGATAAATTATTGACCATTCTAAAATTTTCATTGCAAAAAACATATTAAATGCACATCTCCATACTGACAGTCACTAAAATTCCAACCTTAAAAATTTTGGAAACTCAAAGTGCAAGAAACTATAAAGAACCATATCAGTGTAGGGTCATTTTCTATCTTGTATAATATTTACAGAAGTTAATCAAATGACAGAAAAAATCTAAATAAAATAATTCTAACCAAACTGTTATATTTTTAAATTTTTTTAATTGAATCACCTTGAGATAGCCCATTATAAAACTGTTCATAATTGGGTTTCAGTTATACAGTGTTCCAAGACTCATCCCTCTACCAGTGTACATTTCCCAGCACCAATGTCCCCAATATCCCTCCAACTCCCGTGCCCCAGCCTGCCTCTATGGTAGGCACTGTCTCTGTCTCTCTGTCTCTGTCTCTCTCTGTCTCTGTCTGTGTCTCTCTCTCCTCCTCCCCTTCCCTCTCCCTCCCTTTCTCTCTTTCTTTTTCTCTCTTTTTGAGCATTGTGGTTTGCAATATAGATCCTGAAACTTTATCATGTATATCCCTTTATCTACCTTACATACTCAGTTCTTACCCAGTATGATCATTTCCAGCTATTATTTTCATACTGGTCCCTACTCTGTCTTACCTACCTTATGCCCTTATGCCCCCCTCCAACATTTGTGGTAGATTCCAATCACTGACTTGTCCTCCTGGCCCATTTTCCTTGTCCTTAGATATTAGTCTAATATTATTTTTGCTTTCTTACAGTTTTAATAAGGCGTACAGAATTAGAATAAATCTTTCTTACTCTGTTCCTTTACAAAGACCTCAAACAAGAACACTGTACCAGCACTTTCAAACAATGGCTCCGTTAAAGATTTAACATCTGAGGTCAGATGTGGTTTTCTTATTAAGCTGCCATTTCCTTTACAAAATAGACTATTCTGTAGTTACTGTTGGCCTTTGAACTCTGGTCATTAATAATTAAAACTGAACTGCAAAGCATATTTCGTGATGCTGAGTACACTGTAAGTTGTAGGTTTTTGCTTAGTGGCTCATATTAAATGTTACCAACCTCTGGAGAGATAAGTCCAACATCAGTCTGAATAGACAAAATTGACTGACGCCTGAAAGCAAATCAGACAGCTCCAAATCAAGATAAAATAGCGTATCGGTCACTCACCATATTGACAGCGGGGTCCTTGAAAGCCCTCTGAACACTGGCAACGCTGGGCTTCATGTTCTCGACATATTCCATTAAAACAAGTTCTCACTGCTGAGACAGCTAAAAAGAGGAGAGTGGGAAAGGGATCAAAAAAAAGCTTCAATTTAAGCACATTTCTAATATAAATAACAACAAAGAATTACCAACACCACTTCAATAAAAATTAAAAAGACAGTGTTTTCATCTACAATGACACCAATTCTGCTATTTGAGTGCTCTCCAACATACTCCAAAGGTCCTGGCATACCTTCACCAAAGATTTGTAAAAGAACTGCACACCTCGCCTTAAAAAGCAAACTGACTACAGTGGTCTTCAATTAATCATGACAAGTACAAGCTGAGCACATTTAGATTCAATACAGGGAATTCCCTTCAGATTTTAGAATCAACAGTGGATTACAAATTTGGTGATATGGGAAGAGGCAAGCGGGAAAAGATGGAAGCATGGGGACAACCTGACTGGCTTTAAACAAACTGTCTTTTAAATGAAGAGACAATATACAGCAGTAGTTCTATGGGTTCTGCATTTTGACCATCACTACACATACTCAGAAAGGATTTTTCCATATATTACGCAAGTTGCACATGTCAGTCTAACAATATGCTCCAAAACTCTGGTGACTCTAAAGATGCCTGAAACTTTGCAGGCATGGTATGACTGTGCCCCCCAAATGAGCTACACTATTAGTTCTAGTGACAGAGAATGAGACAGGAAAAATTTTATGACTCACGGTGTAGGCAGCCAGGTTCCTCGGCCCACTGCCTCCAACCAGGGCAGCACCTGTAGAGAGTCTGCGGCTCCAGGCTGTATGTCTGTCTGTAAACAGTGTAATACCTGGTCCTATGAAACACAGAAATCTAGATCACTACTGCTTTCCCAGTAGGTAGGACATTTGCCTTGCATGCAGCCAACCCTGCCCACCTGGGCTTGATTCCTCCGCCCCTCTCAGAGAGCCCAGCAAGCGACCGAGAGTATCTCGCCCGCACAGCAAAGCCTGGCAAGCTCGCGGTGATGTATTCGATATGCCAAATACAGTAACAAGTCTCACGACGGAGACGTTATTGGGCCCACTAGAGCAAATTGATGAACAATGGGAGGACAATGCTACCATTTTAATTACACCAAAAACTAACCCAAGGCCTGCCATGTACACACACACACACACACACACACACACACACACACACACACACATTTGTATATACGTACTCTTACATACATACACACATCTTACTACAAATACAATCAAGCTCATTCAATTTTGATTCTTGATTCAATGAAAAGATAGTTGAATGAAAAGTAAACTGCACTTATCCATGTCAAGGGGTATAAACTATATTAAGGTTTATTCAAACTATTAAGAGTAAATCCCCCAATTATAAAGAGAATAATGAAACCCTGAAGGTACGTGCTTTCCAACATGTTACTCACAGGCCTCATTAGATCATGTATCTGCAACAGTGGTGGTATCACCCATAGGAGTGATAGTTGACTGTTGACAAGAGGGGTGAAAAAAATCTTAATATGAAAGTTTGCTATTCTAGAAAAATAGTATGTAAATTGTCACTGTCACTGTCCTTCCGTTTTTCATCGATTTTCTCGAGCAGGACCAGTAATGTCTCTAGTGTGAGACTTTGTTGTTACTGTGTTTGGCATATTGGATACGTCATGGGGAGCTTGCCAGGCTTTGCCCTGCGGGCGAGATACTCTCGGTAGCTTGCTGGGCTCTCCGAGAGGGGCGGAGAAATCAAACCTGGCTTGGCCGGGCTGGCTGCGCAGAAGGCAAATGCCCTACAAATTATAACTATGAGGACAAATATTGAAGAAAATAGCAGAAAAACTTAAGAACACACGACTGCAAGCACTACACTATAGTTATTTGTGAGAAACTCTCAATAGACTATAATACCAAGCCTTTGGTATTAAGCAAATTTCCTTTTTTCCTTTCATATATATTCTTCATCCTGAAATTTTTTTCTCTCCCCTTCAAATACCTTCTTTATAGCCCTGGACAATCCCCTTCATTAATAAAGGTCAAATTCAAGTATTATTTCCTCCAACTTTCCCTGATCTGACATGTCAGTCTACATTACTCATGCAATTCTCTCTAAACTAGAATTTGTTATGGCTGCATCATTTTTCACTGACACGTATTCACTTTCATGAAGCGTAACCTCTTATTCTGTATGTGTATCTCCATAGTGAGGAAATTTAGCCTTGTGTACTTATAGACAACAAAATGCATATAAGTTTTGCCAGATATTTTTGAATATATCTTATAGATGTATTCAACTTCAAACCTAATGTCATAAATGCTTGTGGAATAAAGAAGTATGTGGTATTTAAAAAACTAATAAATAAAAATTTAAAAGAATTGTATAGAACTACTAAACTCTGGAGACCAAAACTATAAAACATGTCACCCTTATTCATGTTTATATCCCAAGTACAAATGTCTATATGGTGGTAAACTCTGGTTCATACAGTATCAATAATGATTGAAGCCCATGGGGTGAGCACAAGAAACAAAAATGAAAAGCCAATTTCATATATAAATTCTACAGTAAACAAACATAGAGTACCTACCATGCACCATTGTGCTACTCACCAGATATCATCAATTTGCCTATGCAAAGTAGTATTTTACTAATTTTACAAAAAAAATGACTCAGAAATATAGCAGCTTGGTCTATAGTCACATAGAGTCAAGAAAAAATTTCTGGTTAAAATTTTAATTAAAGATCCTAAGTGTAGAAAACAATTTAACAAAAATATCCATATGAAGGTTAAACACATGCACATTCACACATGGACACAGAGTGTATATGCTAAGACCTAAAATGATTTTGTCTTGTAATATATTTCTTATTTCAATTATTATTTACTTCTGTATATTATCAGTGTTGTTATGTCTACATAATATTATCTTCATAATAATTAGATGTTCCAAATCTCCTTTGTTAGTAGTAAAAACAATAGTAACAGTAAAAATAATGAAAGCAATAATAAATTTTTTATTAACCTACATTTTTTTTACTTAAGGTATCCTAAATCTAGACCCAGTTGATCCACTTGCATAAAACTTAACTATTCAACAATAACAGAATCCAGAGGTACTTTGTTATTTTGTATAACTACTAAAAAAATTGAAAAAAAAAATTGCTATGGAGCATCGTATCACAAAGAGCACCATATTTGCTTTTTCTTTTTACTCTCAGTTGGTCAAGATAGTTCTAATTCAAAGACCATAATACAATTAAAGATTCTTAAGACTTCAAAGTGCTACAGGAAAATCAAGGACCAGTCAAATCCAGGTTCACTAACTTAGATGCCCTCATCGAAGTCCTACTAAATTTAGTCAACCAACATAATAATCCCACTTCTGATAGTCTCCTGACCCCCAGTTTCCAATAGTCTCCTATGCCCTGAGGTAAAATGAGTGACAGGTGCCCTAAAACACCTTACACACAAATGAAGCCTATGCCCTGACTCTGAAGGAAAATGTGTAAATGAAAATCCCTGATGAGCATAGCTTATGTTTGTTTATTCAATGACATAATTATTTTCTAAATTAATGGGATTAAATCTGGCAAGCAGTCAAAGCTCTTGGTTTAGATGTTTAGTAGCCAGAAGGAAATAGCAGACAATAATCTTACCTTCTTTCATAACCCGCACACCATCTTGGGTCTAAGCATCCAGGTTTCCAGAGCTTCACAGTGTGTGTAAATGCCCGCACACAAGGGTGTGGGAGTCGCACCACAGTCATTTGCTGTTCTTCACAAACATTTGGCCTTGGGTTGGGGGGGGAGGGGAAGGAAAAATGTGATTTAAAAAAAAGATCGTTTTATACATTGATCATCTATTTATCCTTCCATTTTTCTACAAGATGCTTGTGACAATGAGAAATACTGTATTTAATGAAGAATGATTTTCTTATCCAAATCAATAATTTTGCACTTGAAAACATTGCTAATTTTAAAAGTAATCTAAACCACTACACAGATTTTTCATGTAAAATCACATGAGCATCACACATTGACCCTGCTGAGGTCAGGTTTTGATACTCTTATCATTAGGAAACACAGTCTAACTTAATCTCCATATAGATAATCTGCTAAATATAGCAATGGGTCCTAATCAGAAGCTCTCTTTGGCACCTAAATAATTCTGTAAGCTTGTCAGTGAGACAATTATAATACTGATAAACTGTCTAGTGGTACTCACCACACTAAAATCAGTTACATCACTCTACAGCCCGAGGCCCCTCCTGTAATCACTTCTTTCCATGACTCTGACTAAATCTCACCCCCTGATTTCACTTACAGCTCAATTCTCACTTCTAAATATATTTCTGAAAGGCAATAGTTTGGGTGGTTAAATTCACCTGAACTGAATGAAATTTATGTTGAACTTTATGAGTTTTCATAGTACATGTGAATGCCGTAGGTCAACATCTAAATTAAATAATGTTTGAAAACTACACATAAGGTAGGCATTTATAAAAAAGCAAATTGAGCTGTGGAGCTAAAACATCAGCTTTTAAAATTCCTCTACTATGGGGGTAGGCAGCCTCCCCTCTCCCTCCCCCTGTGCTTCCAGAACTCCTGGCAGCCATGCTTCCACAGCTACCACCATGTCAACTCTTTGATCTGGACCCTAGATCCTGAAGTCCCTGGACCACACAACACCTCCAAATTGTCAATATTGAAATTCCAATGGGAGTACACCAAATTAGATGGAAAAGTAACATAGAAGCCTACTAAACTCTACAAACAAAAACAATAACCCATAAGGCTCAACTAGCAACAATCAGCTTAGTAAGCCCTTAGACAAATATTTAGGAACCCCGTGGTAAATATAACAATTTATATTACCAAATAACAATTTTCACATTTTTTTACTGGAGTAGTTTTGATAATTTCTTTATAGCCATTTAGTTGCAACAAACAATATAAAATACGTTATTGTTTGCTAAGGGGACAGGCTTGGAGGGTGGTTTGGTAAATGGGGAGGGTGGGGGAGTGAAGGTCACTTTGTTGGTGGGACTGATGTTCAAAACTCGAAAGCCCATAACAACTGTATTATAAACAACTGTGTAAGCTACAGTGTCAAAATAACGTTTTTTTTCATTAAAAAATGAAAAAAATAAATAAAACAAAATTCCTCTACTAGATTCTCTGTAAACTTAGAAATCCCATATTAGAGTCCTGTGCCTGTAACTTTTTTTTAATTGTTTACTTATTTATGAAATTCGTTTTTGGCTAATTATTTCACATGGTTAGCTTTGTAATAAGGTGCAAATTTGGTGGAAGTTTTGAGGAGTAGAAACCTTATTCAATGCTCTATCTAGAAATGTCCTCATTTTTTTATTTAAAAAAATTTTTAATAGTGAGACATCATGAGGTACAGTTACACATTTTTGTGATTGGGTTTCAATTATATAATGATCAAATACCATCCCTCCACCAGTGCCCACTTCCCACCACCATGCATCCTAGTATCCCTCCCACCCCCCATATCCCCCATCCCACCCTGGCTCTGTGGCAGGGCATTCCCCTCTGTTCTCTCTCTCCTTTTGGGTGTTGTGGTTTGCAAAAAAAACATTGAGTGGCAATCATGTTTGGTCTATAGTCTACTTTCAGCATGCTTCTCCCATTCTGGGAGGGTCCTCCCAACACCTTTATTTGGTGTTCCCCTCTTTATCTGAGCTCCCTTTTCCCTAGTATGTGTGGTTGGCCTCCAAGTCATGGAGTAGAATTCCTGGTACTAATCTCGGCCATTCTTGGGTGTTAGTTTCCTATTTTGTTACTTTATGTTCCCCAGATGAATGCAATCTTTCTATGTCTATCCCTTTCTTTCTGAGTCATTTCGCTTAACATGATATTTTCCATGTAGTACCACTTGTATGTGAATTTCGTGACTTCGTCTTTTCTAACAGCTACATAGTAATCCATTGTGTAAATGTACCAAAGTTTCTTTAACCTGTCATCTGTTCTCGGGCACTCAGGTTTTTTACAGATTCTGGCTATTGTAAAGAGTGCTGCAATAAACAGGCAATTGCAGATGTCACTTCAACTATACTTTTTTGCCTCTCTGGGATATATTCCCAGGAGTGGTATTGCTGGATCAAATGGGAGCTCAATTTCTAATTTTTTGAGAATCAACCATACTGTTTTCCAAAAGGGCTGTACCAGTCGGCATTCCCACCAACAGTGAAGGAGTGTCCCTTTCTCACCACATCTTCGCCAGCACCGGTTGCTTTTGTTCTTGTGGATATGGGCCAGTCTCTGTGGTGTGAAGTGATATCTCATTGTGGTTTTGATCTGCTGTGCCTTTAACTTTTAACGTTGAATTATGTGCTTCTTATGATTCACCTAGCCCCAATTAGTAAGCTTACTTCATCTTTTTTTCTAGTCAATAGCAGATAAAAAGTGAAAAGTGAAGCCTTAATCCTCACCCAGCCTTGCACTCTATCTTCATCAGTTATTCCATCCATTCTTTAACCCACCCAATTCACTCACTTTATCCACTGATTTATATATACACACATCTGTCCACCCAAGCATCTATTCAACAAATGTTTACTGTCATCTACATGTGTCAAAAAACTATCTTTCAGAAGAATGTGAATCTTCCAGACCCCACACCAGGCTGTCACATCAGGCTGCTTCCCTCCCCCGACCCCACAACAAGAGAGTCCCAGCAGTTGAAAACCTCCAGAACTCATCGCTGCCGTGCTCCAGCCCATCTCCACAAGCTCAGACAAGCCTCACCCATGAGTGCATCTGCTGTTTTCTAAATTTTAGAATTCCTGGAGCACGCGACCACACTATCTCTCATACTCTACACTACTAATATACCAAGAGTAGCACAAAACATTTGATGGGGTTTAAAGGAGAAGAGAACCAATCTCATCTATATATATATATATATATATATATATAGAGAGAGAGAGAGAGAGAGAGAGAGAGAGAGAGAGTCTCCTGCCCCCGCTCCTGGTTGTCCTCACCGGGGCCCCTTGGAGGGGGGAGGGTTGAGTTTCTCTCTGCCCCCCCTGCCCCAAGCAGAGCCCTAGCATCTGATGACCTCTGGACCCAGCCACGGCCATGCTGGAACCACTCTCCACACGTCCGGACGGGCCTCATGCATGAAAGAACTGGCAGAGGAACCCAGGCATGCAGGTCCTGGGGCTGAGGTCTGGAACTGGGCCTTCTCCATCCAGACCCCCCATTTTCCAGTAGGTAGGCATCACACCCACCAGCTGCCACCAGCACCAAGTTGGTCCCATCAACAGCCAAGACGCAGAGACTATAAAACCCAGCTCCCGGAAGCGCGCGGCCACAAATGCGGCCGCGTGACATCTTATCATCTTACTTTTTCCTTTGAAGAGCCTGGCAGGCTACCAAAAGTATCCTGCCCACACAGCAGAGTCTGGCAAACTTCCCGTGTCGTACTCAATATGCCAAATACCAGTAACAATGATGGGTCTCATTCCCTAATCCTAAAAGAGCATTGAAATGGCTCTTTTAAAATCTCAGGATTAGGACGAAGGAGACGCTACTGGTGCCTGCTCGAGGAAATCGACGAACAACAGGATGCTTGTGATTATATATATATATATATATATGATTATATATATATATATTATACATATATATATGCGCACACAAGGATAGACCTTTAACAAACATGTTAGCAATCTCTTATACAAAGGCTTAATGGCTCCAGGATGAAATACAACAATCTTCACACACTTTCCTCTAAGGAAATTTTATTGGACCATTTTTAGAAAATTATTCATAACAAGCAATACAAAATTAATTGTTTCTGTTCTACTTGGGGGGCACATTTTGGGATTTGGGGTTGAAACATTTGAAAGATGGTGGTAGGAAGGTGCAATGGTGGTGGGATTGGTGTTCAAATATTAAATGTAATGAATTATTATGAACAATTTTATAAAGATTAAATTAAATTTTAAAAAGAAGAAGAATGTGAAGTTAATAAGTTTATTTGGGAAGTTCGAAAGCACTGGTAATATAAACACAGAAAAAAAGAAGTTAGCCAACAAGAAGATGTATTGCAGATTCAGTCAAGTATTAGGTGGCTAGTCACTCAAAAAAGGTGACTTTTGGGCTGGAGCCTTAGTATAGCAGAGAGGGAGCTTGTCATGATGCTCCTAACATGGGATCAGTCCCCAGTACCACATGTGATTCCCCAAGCCTGCCAGGAGTGAGCCCTGGGTACTACCAAGTATGGGCCCAAAACAAAAAGGTGACCTTATCTATGCGTCTGCCTAAAATGCTAGGTTACTTCAAGCAATCACTGCGGAAAATTTATATGTGTGTGTGTGTGTGTGTGTGTGTGTGTCTATACACATACATATTGTGTGTGTAATAGCACGTCCTCTCAGTCTAAATCTCCTAGGAAATATACATTCCAGATACTCTACCTTTTTTCAAGTAATTTTTTTTTGTCAAATAAGTGTAAATGCTAGCAGATGGAAAGCCCTGCAGCTGTAAAGGAGAGGGGATTGGATCCGGTTTTGCCAGTTTTGACTACAGATGGAACAAATAATGTTCATATTTGATTTTTGGAAATCGGAGAAAACGAACTAAGCAAAGCACCAAAATAAGTGTAAAATAGTAAGTGCTAAAATGGAAGTAAGTGCGGCTGATACAGAGATAGGGGCAGTTTACTAAGATATATTTATTAGGAAAGGCTTCACTGAAGATGTGGCAAAGTGACCTAAAGGGTGAAGAAAATCCTCTCAGAGAAGAGCCAGAAGAGTATT